ACTGGCAGGTGGCATGCTGGCTGAGGTGCAGTAGCAGACTGGCATGTGGCACGCTGGCAGAGGTGCAGGAGCAGACTGGCAGGTGGCACTCTGGCAAAGGTGCAGGAGCAGACTGGCAGGTGGCACGCCGGCAAAGGTGCAGGAGCAGACTGGCAGCTGGCATGATGGTAGAGGTGCAGGAGCAGACTGGCAGGTGGCTTGCTAGCAGAGATGCAGGAGCAGACTGGCAGGTGGCATGCTAGCAGAGGTGCAGGAGCAGACTGGCAGGTGGCACGCTGGCAGAGGTGCAGGAGTAGACTGGCAGGTGGCATGCTAGCAGAGGTGCAGGAGCAGACTGGCAGAGGTGCAGGAGCAGACTGGCAGGTGGGATGCTGGCAGAGGTGCAGGAGCAGACTGGCAGGTGGCACACTGGCAGAGGTGCAGGAGCAGACTGGCAGGTGGCATGCTGGCAGAGATGCAGGAGCAGACTGGCAGCTGGCATGCTGGCAGAGATGCAGGAGCAGACTGGAAGGTGGCACGATGGCTGAGGTGCAGGAGCAGACTGGCAGGTGGCACGCTGACAAAGGTGCAGGAGCAGACTGGCAGGTGGCACGCCGGCAAAGGGTGCAGGAGCAGAGATGGCAGGTGGCATGATGGTAGAGGTGCAGGAGCAGCCTGGCAGGTGGCTTGCTAGCAGAGATGCAGGAGCAGACTGGCAGGTGGCATGCTAGCAGAGGTGCAGGAGCAGACTGGCAGGTGGCACGCTGGCAGAGGTGCAGGAGCAGACTGGCAGGTGGCATGCTAGCAGAGGTGCAGGAGCAGACTGGCAGAGGTGCAGGAGCAGACTGGCAGGTGGGATGCTGGCAGAGGTGCAGGAGCAGACTGGCAGGTGGCACACTGGCAGAGGTGCAGGAGCAGACTGGCAGGTGGCATGCTAGCAGAGATGCAGGAGCAGACTGACAGGTGGCACGCTGGCAGAGATGCAGGAGCAGACTGGCAGGTGGCACGCTGGCAGAGGTGCAGGAGCAGACTGGCAGGTGGCACGCTGGCAGAGGTGCAGGAGCAGACTGGCAGGTGGCATGCTGGTAGAGGAGCAGACTGGCAGGTGGCTTTCTAGCAGAGATGTAGGAGCAGACTGGCAGATGGCACGCTGGCAGAGGTGCAGGAGCAGACTGGCAGGTGGCATGCTGGCAGAGGTGCAGGAGCAGACTGGCAGGTGGCACGCTGGCAGAGGTGCAGGAGCAGACTGGCAGGTGACATGCTGGTAGAGGTGCAGGAGCAGACTGGCAGGTGGCACGCTGGCAGAGGTGCAGGAGCAGACTGGCAGGTGGCATGCTGGTAGAGGTGCAGGAGCAGACTGGCAGGTGGCATGCTAGCAGAGATGCAGGAGCAGACTGGCAGGTGGCATGCTAGCAGAGGTGCAGGAGCCAGACTGGCAGGTGGCACATTGGCATAGATGCAGGAGCAGACTGGCAGGTGGCATGCTGGCTGAGGTGCAGGAGCAGACTGGCAGGTGGCATGCTGGCAGAGGTGCAGGAGCAGACTGGCAGGTGGCATGCTGGCAGAGGTGCAGGAGCAGACTGGCAGGTGCAGGGCATGCTGGTAGAAGTGCAGGAGCAGACTGGCAGGGTGGCATGCTGGTAGAGGTGCAGGAGCAGACTGGCAGGTGGCATGCTAGCAGAGGTGCAGGAGCAGACTGGCAGGTGGCACGCTGGCAGAGGTGCAGGAGCAGACTGGCAGGTGGCATGCTAGCAGAGGTGCAGGAGCAGACTGGCAGAGGTGCAGGAGCAGACTGGCAGGTGGGAGGATGCTGGCAGAGGTGCAGGAGCAGACTGGCAGGTGGCATGCTGGCAGAGATGCAGGAGCAGACTGGCAGGTGGCATGCTGGCAGAGATGCAGGAGCAGACTGGCAGAGATGCAGGAGCAGACTGGCAGGTGGCATGCTGGCAGAGATGCAGGAGCAGACTGGAAGGTGGCACGATGGCTGAGGTGCAGTAGCAGACTGGCAGGTGATATGCTGGTAGAGGTGCAGGAGCAGACTGGCAGGTGGCACGCTGGCAGAGGTGCAGGAGCAGACTGGCAGGTGGCATGCTAGCAGAGGTGCAGGAGCCAGACTGGCAGAAATGCAGGAGCAGACTGGCAGGTGGCACATTGGCATAGATGCAGGAGCAGACTGGCAGGTGGCATGCTGGCTGAGGTGCAGGAGCAGACTGGCAGGTGGCATGCTGGCAGAGGTGCAGGAGCAGACTGGCAGGTGGCATGCTGGCAGAGGTGCAGGAGCAGACTGGCAGGTGGCATGCTGGTAGAAGTGCAGGAGCAGACTGGCAGGTGGCATGCTGGTAGAGGTGCAGGAGCAGACTGGCAGGTGGCATGCTAGCAGAGGTGCAGGAGCAGACTGGCAGGTGGCACGCTGGCAGAGGTGCAGGAGCAGACTGGCAGGTGGCATGCTAGCAGAGGTGCAGGAGCAGACTGGCAGAGGTGCAGGAGCAGACTGGCAGGTGGGATGCTGGCAGAGGTGCAGGAGCAGACTGGCAGGTGGCACACTGGCAGAGGTGCAGGAGCAGACTGGCAGGTGGCATGCTGGCAGAGATGCAGGAGCAGACTGGCAGGTGGCATGCTGGCAGAGATGCAGGAGCAGACTGGAAGGTGGCACGATGGCTGAGGTGCAGTAGCAGACTGGCATGTGGCACGCTGGGCAGAGGTGCAGGAGCAGACTGGCAGGTGGCACGCTGACAAAGGTGCAGGAGCAGACTGGCAGGTGGCACGCCGGCAAAGGTGCAGGAGCAGACTGGCAGGTGGCATGATGGTAGAGGTGCAGGAGCAGCCTGGCAGGTGGCTTGCTAGCAGAGATGCAGGAGCAGACTGGCAGGTGGCATGCTAGCAGAGGTGCAGGAGCAGACTGGCAGGTGGCACGCTGGCAGAGGTGCAGGAGCAGACTGGCAGGTGGCATGCTAGCAGAGGTGCAGGAGCAGACTGGCAGAGGTGCAGGAGCAGACTGGCAGGTGGGATGCTGGCAGAGGTGCAGGAGCAGACTGGCAGGTGGCACACTGGCAGAGGTGCAGGAGCAGACTGGCAGGTGGCTTTCTAGCAGAGATGTAGGAGCAGACTGGCAGATGGCACGCTGGCAGAGGTGCAGGAGCAGACTGCCAGGTGGCATGCTGGCAGAGGTGCAGGAGCAGACTGGCAGGTGGCACGCTGGCAGAGGTGCAGGAGCAGACTGGCAGGTGACATGCTGGTAGAGGTGCAGGAGCAGACTGGCAGGTGGCACGCTGGCAGAGGTGCAGGAGCAGACTGGCAGGTGGCATGCTGGTAGAGGTACAGGAGCAGACTGGCAGGTGGCATGCTAGCAGAGATGCAGGAGCAGACTGGCAGGTGGCATGCTAGCAGAGGTGCAGGAGCCAGACTGGCAGAAATGCAGGAGCAGACTGGCAGGTGGCACATTGGCATAGATGCAGGAGCAGACTGGCAGGTGGCATGCTGGCAGAGGTGCAGGAGCAGACTGGCAGGTGGCATGCTGGTAGAAGTGCAGGAGCAGACTGGCAGGTGGCATGCTGGTAGAGGTGCAGGAGCAGACTGGCAGGTGGCATGCTAGCAGAGATGCAGGAGCAGACTGGCAGGTGGCATGCTAGCAGAGGTGCAGGAGCAGACTGACAGAAATGCAGGAGCAGACTGGCAGGTGGCACATTGGCATAGATGCAGGAGCAGACTGGCGGGTGGCATGCTGGCAGAGATGCAGGAGCAGACTGGCAGGTGGCATGCTGGCAGAGATACAGGAGCAGACTGGAAGGTGGCATGCTGGCAGAGATACAGGAGCAGACTGGAAGGTGGCATGCTGGCAGAGGTGCAGGAGCAGACTGGCAGGTGGCACGCTGGCAGAGGTGCAGGAGCAGACTGGCAGGTGGCATGCTAGCAGAGGTGCAGGAGCAGACTGGCAGAGGTGCAGGAGCAGACTGGCAGGTGGGATGCTGGCAGAGGTGCAGGAGCAGACTGGCAGGTGGCACACTGGCAGAGGTGCAGGAGCAGACTGGCAGGTGGCATGCTAGCAGAGATGCAGGAGCAGACTGACAGGTGGCACGCTGGCAGAGATGCAGGAGCAGACTGGCAGGTGGCACGCTGGCAGAGGTGCAGGAGCAGACTGGCAGGTGGCACGCTGGCAGAGGTGCAGGAGCAGACTGGCAGGTGGCATGCTGGTAGAGGAGCAGACTGGCAGGTGGCTTTCTAGCAGAGATGTAGGAGCAGACTGGCAGATGGCACGCTGGCAGAGGTGCAGGAGCAGACTGCCAGGTGGCATGCTGGCAGAGGTGCAGGAGCAGACTGGCAGGTGGCACGCTGGCAGAGGTGCAGGAGCAGACTGGCAGGTGACATGCTGGTAGAGGTGCAGGAGCAGACTGGCAGGTGGCACGCTGGCAGAGGTGCAGGAGCAGACTTGCAGGTGGCATGCTGGTAGAGGTGCAGGAGCAGACTGGCAGGTGGCATGCTAGCAGAGGTGCAGGGAGCCAGACTGGCAGAAATGCAGGAGCAGACTGGCAGGTGGCACATTGGCATAGATGCAGGAGCAGACTGGCAGGTGGCATGCTGGCTGAGGTGCAGGAGCAGACTGGCAGGTGGCATGCTGGCAGAGGTGCAGGAGCAGACTGGCAGGTGGCATGCTGGCAGAGGTGCAGGAGCAGACTGGCAGGTGGCATGCTGGTAGAAGTGCAGGAGCAGACTGGCAGGTGGCATGCTGGTAGAGGTGCAGGAGCAGACTGGCAGGTGGCATGCTAGCAGAGATGCAGGAGCAGACTGGCAGGTGGCATGCTAGCAGAGGTGCAGGAGCAGACTGACAGAAATGCAGGAGCAGACTGGCAGGTGGCACATTGGCATAGATGCAGGAGCAGACTGGCGGGTGGCATGCTGGCAGAGATGCAGGAGCAGACTGGAAGGTGGCATGCTGGCAGAGATACAGGAGCAGACTGGAAGGTGGCATGCTGGCAGAGATGCAGGAGCAGACTGGCAGGTGGCACGCTAGCAGAAGTGCTGGAGCAGACTGGCAGGTGGCATGCTGGCAGAGATGCAGGAGCAGACTGGCAGGTGGCATGCTGGCAGAGATGCAGGAGTAGACTGGCAGGTGGCACACTGGCAGAGGTGCAGGAGCAGACTGGCAGGTGGCATGCTGGCAGAGGTGCAGGAGCAGACTGGCAGGTGGCATGCTGGCAGAGGTGCAGGAGCAGACTGGCAGGTGGCATGCTGGCAGAGATACATGCAGGAGCAGACTGGAAGGTGGCATGCTGGCAGAGATACAGGAGCAGACTGGAAGGTGGCACGCTAGCAGAAGTGCAGGAGCAGACTGGCAGGTGGCACACTGGCAGAGGTGCAGGAGCAGACTGGCAGGTGGCATGCTGGCAGAGGTGCAGGAGCAGACTGGCAGAGGTGCAGGAGCAGACTGGCAGGTGGCATGCTGGCAGAGGTGCAGGAGCAGACTGGCAGGTGGCATGCTGGCAGAGGTGCAGGAGCAGACTGGCAGGTGGCATGCTGGCAGAGATGCAGGAGCAGACTGGCAGGTGGCATGCTGGCAGAGATGCAGGAGCAGACTGGCAGGTGGCACGCTAGCAGAAGTGCAGGAGCAGACTGGCAGGTGGCACGCTAGCAGAAGTGCAGGAGCAGACTGGCAGGTGGCACGCTAGCAGAAGTGCAGGAGCAGACTGGCAGGTGGCATGCTGGCAGAGGTGCAGGAGCAGACTGGCAGGTGGCATGCTGGCAGAGGTGCAGGAGCAGACTGGCAGAGGTGCAGGAGCAGACTGGCAGGTGGCACACTGGCAGAGGTGCAGGAGCAGACTGGCATGCTGGCAGAGGTGCAGGAGCAGACTGGCAGGTGGCATGCTAGCAGAGGTGCAGGAGCAGACTGACAGAAATGCAGGAGCAGACTGGCAGGTGGCACATTGGCATAGATGCAGGAGCAGACTGGCGGGTGGCATGCTGGCAGAGATGCAGGAGCAGACTGGAAGGTGGCATGCTGGCAGAGATACAGGAGCAGACTGGAAGGTGGCATGCTGGCAGAGATGCAGGAGCAGACTGGCAGGTGGCACGCTAGCAGAAGTGCTGGAGCAGACTGGCAGGTGGCATGCTGGCAGAGATGCAGGAGCAGACTGGCAGGTGGCACGCTAGCAGAAGTGCAGGAGTAGACTGGCAGGTGGCACACTGGCAGAGGTGCAGGAGCAGACTGGCAGGTGGCATGCTGGCAGAGGTGCAGGAGCAGACTGGCAGGTGGCATGCTGGCAGAGGTGCAGGAGCAGACTGGCAGGTGGCATGCTGGCAGAGATACAGGAGCAGACTGGAAGGTGGCATGCTGGCAGAGATACAGGAGCAGACTGGAAGGTGGCACGCTAGCAGAAGTGCAGGAGCAGACTGGCAGGTGGCACACTGGCAGAGGTGCAGGAGCAGACTGGCAGGTGGCATGCTGGCAGAGGTGCAGGAGCAGACTGGCAGAGGTGCAGGAGCAGACTGGCAGGTGGCATGCTGGCAGAGGTGCAGGAGCAGACTGGCAGGTGGCATGCTGGCAGAGGTGCAGGAGCAGACTGGCAGGTGGCATGCTGGCAGAGATGCAGGAGCAGACTGGCAGGTGGCATGCTGGCAGAGATGCAGGAGCAGACTGGCAGGTGGCACGCTAGCAGAAGTGCAGGAGCAGACTGGCAGGTGGCACGCTAGCAGAAGTGCAGGAGCAGACTGGCAGGTGGCATGCTGGCAGAGGTGCAGGAGCAGACTGGCAGGTGGCATGCTGGCAGAGGTGCAGGAGCAGACTGGCAGAGGTGCAGGAGCAGACTGGCAGGTGGCACACTGGCAGAGGTGCAGGAGCAGACTGGCATGCTGGCAGAGGTGCAGGAGCAGACTGGCAGGTGGCATGCTGGCAGAGGTGCAGGAGCAGACTGGCAGGTGGCATGCTGGCAGAGGTGCAGGAGCAGGATACCCGCAAGGATAAGCTGGTTCAGGTGCAGGGGGCAGAGTAAGGCAAAGTCAGACAGTCTGGGTCGGCAACTAGCAGGCAGAGCAAGCAATAAACAGTAGGCAGAAGACTAGTGAAAGGGCAGGCCAGGGGGTCGGTACAGGCAGCGTTCGGGCAGGGTCAATAACAGATCAGATCGGCAACACAATCACAGGTAACAGGATGCACAGGTGCTTAAACGTAATAGACCAAATGGCACTAATTAATGCAAGGCACTAGCCCAGCTTAAATAGCCTGCCTGGTGCTAATGTGACATCGCGCATGCACACTTCTGTGTGCGATTGCGCATTTGCTAATCGGCCATCAGCAAGGCTTAGAAGGGTTCACTGCCTGCACATAGATATGCACAATCCCTGCCAACTAGATTCCTTGGAATTGCAAGAATTTAATAATGAAGTTATCTTAAGGGCCCTATTTCGGCCCCTAAAAGCTGATTTTAACTCATTGGAAGTCTGACACCCCACCCACTTGAGGTGAGTGGATTAAGCGGATTGGTGACACTCTTTGGCTGGAATGTCCTATTTATCAACATAGGGGATGCCCCAAATAAATTTGGATAAATCTTAAAATTGCTCAATATCCCAGGCCTGTGCCTGTTAGATCTCGTTACAGGATATGCTAGGCATTTTGGGGTGATTTCTGGTTTGTGCTTATTCTGGGTAACCTCTCTTTGACCAGGAAGATGTCTTTTGATGACAAAATGCATTGGGCCCCTGCTGATGTCATCGCACTCTACTACATTCCAGGAAGTATTTGCTGATTCTGGTCCGGTGAATATATATTACATGTGCATGTGTTTTTTTAATATATGTGAGTGCAGTTTTTGGCTTCAATAAGCTGTTTGAGCTTTTACGCTATGGAGAGATTCTCTCTTTTTTTACCTTACATGATTGTTATGTTTGAAACAGGGTCAAATATACAATATTGACGGTGCTCCTGAGTGTGATTGAGACGGCTTGGAAGGTGATCCAGATGCTCTGAGAGATTACTTAAGCACGTTTTGACCGCTCTAAAACATAAGGAGGTCATGGGGAGTCGGCAAGAGACCACTGTATCATCACTTTGGATGTTCATTGGTTGCTGGTGGCACTACAGATACAAGAAGTTTGGAAGAGGTGTGGCTATACCACTGTGCACATTCTTGCTGGAACTGTTTTTGGACTTTTTGTTTTAATATAATTTCCTTCACTTTAATTGAATTTAATCAATAATTATATGTAATATATATGTTTTTTGCATGTTATTTTTTTTTATTATCTCTGGATATTTGTACTACGCACTTTAAAAGAGGAATAGACTCCAGAGAGAGAGATATCATATTACCCCGGTACAAATTATTAGTAAAACCTCATCTGGAATATGCAGTTCAGTTTTGGGCACCGATTTACAAAAAAGAATATTGGGGAACTGGAGAAAGTACAGAGAAGGGCAACTAAACTGATACGAGGCATGGAGGAGCTCAGCTATCGGAAAGATTAGAGGAAATGAATGTATTCTTTCTTGAGAAGTGGAGATTAAGGGGGGATATGATCTCCATGTATAATACATGGAGGGGGGGATATGATCACCATGTATAATACATAAGGGGGGATATGATCTCCATGTATAATACATACGGGGGATATGATCAACATGTATAATACATAAGGGGGGATATGATCTCCATGTATAATACATAAGGGGGGATATGATCTCCATGTATAATACATAAGGGGGGATATGATCTCCATGTATAATACATAAGGGGGGATATGATTACCATGTATAATACATAAGGGGGGATGTGATCTCCATGTATAATACATAAGGGGGATATGATCTCCATGTATAATACATAAGGGGGGATATGATCTCCATGTATAATACATCAGTGGTTCATATAGTGAACTCGGTGTAGAGTTATTCACCCTGAGGTCATCACAGAGGGACAAGGGGGGCACTCTTTATGTCTGGAGGGAAAGAAATGTAATCTCCAAACACGGAAAGGTTTCTTCACAGTGAGAGCTGTGAAAATGTGGAATAGACTTCCTCAAGAGTTGGTTCTGGCCAGCTCAGTAGATTTCTTTAAAAAAGTCCTGGATTATTTCTTGAATACACAGAATATAACTGGATACTAACATTTATAGGTAAAGTTGATCCAAGGAATATCCGATAGCCTCTCGGAGGATCAGGAAGGAATTTTTTTTTTTCCTTACAGGAGCAAATTGGCATCATGCTTTGCTGGGTTTTTTGCCTTCCTCTAGATCAACTGTGGGTATAGGATTATAACTTTTTTTTTTTAATGGTTGAACTGGATGGACTTTTGTCTTTTTTCAGCCAGACTAACTATGTAACCAAAGCGATTCATGTATGTATAGATAGTTTTTGGAAGTAATTGCTTTGCTGTTGCTCCTGTACCTTTTCAAGGTAAGTGACAAATGATTGTAAACATACAGAACTGATACGATTAATGTTGATATTTTTTCTTTATAGGTTTCTTCTCAAAAACTTGTGCTGATCTTAAAAAAATGGATCTAATAGGCACTCATAGCTTGTAGCATGTTGCAAGTTTGCTAGGTGTAGGTTTGCTAAAACTAAAACTAAACTAGCAACATGTTTCAAATGAAGGTGACAAAATAACATCTTTAAATATCTGTTGTTCTCAGTTATGAATAAAACAAGAGTCAGCCCACACTCTCCCACTGACCACAAGTAACTACTGGTTGTTAATCTATCCTTTCACTAAGCCTGGGTTCACACTTGTGCAGTGTGGCATACCGCATGTGATTTGCACAGGAACCGCTTCGCATTCCTGTGCAAATCACATGCCAATTCTGTGCGGTGCGATTTGAGCCATACATTTTTGTATGACTCAAATCGCACCTCATTCGCACCAAAAAGATGTAGGACCCTTTTTTTGCTCCACACTAGAATCAGATCGTGTGGATATTCAAACCCATGCGATCCGATACTGCACATCACACCACGTTTTGTGGAACAATTTCAGGGTGTCGTTAACATATACACCCGCATCTGTTCGCATGAACGAGGTGCGATTGTGATGTGATGCGGAATTCGCACAGAAACTGCTGCAAATTCCGCACCGCATCAGTGTGAACCTAGGCTAAAGGACCACTGGTGAAGGACAGAAGCAGGGTGTGACAGTGCTCAAGTTGCTGGCATGCTCAAGAACATATTGAAAGGTAGGTGCAAACATTTAATTTCCTACAAAAAGGGTACTTGAAAGTCTGGACAAAAAAAAAAAAAAATCAATACGCCTCTGTAATACACGCACATTAGTCCCGGTTTTATCCTTTTAAAAATGCTGCAAGCACAGAAAACACGCCTGCCAATCCTGCCAGAAATCTAGTGAGATCCTAACTCCCATGTGCTCCACTGAAATCCCAAGCTGGGTTATCAGCCAGTTCTATTCAGAACTACAAAACACCGTCCATCTATGCTATAGAGATGAGGCGATGGGAGATGTTCTATACTCCAGCAGGGAAGAACTGAGCAAAACTAACCAACATGCTTGGGATTTCAGTGCAGTAAAGGAAGTATGGAATGTGGGAACACACATTCATGGAACACTTTGGATTTCTGGCAGATCATGTTATTGTTCTGTACATAGTTAGTCTGACTGAAAAAAGACAAAAGACCATCAAGTTCAACCATTAAAAAAAAATTAAAAGTTATAATTCTATACCCACAGTTGATCCAGAGGAAGGAAAAAAACCCCAGTAAGGCACGATCCAATTTGCTGCTGCAGGGAAAAATATTCCTTCATGATCCCCCAAGAGGCAGTCAGACGTTCCCTGAATCAACTTTACCTATAAATGTTAGTATCCCGTTATATTCTGTGTATGTAAGAAAGAATCCAGGACTTTTATGAAGCAATTCACTGAGCTGGCCAGGACCAACTCTTGAGGGAGTCTATTCCACATTTTCACAGCTCTCACTGTGAAAAAACATTTAGGTGTTTGGAGATTAAATTTCTTTTCCTCCAGATGTACAGAGTGCCCCCCTTGTCCTCTGTGATGACCTCAGGGTGAATAACTCTACACCGAGTTCACTATATGCACCACTGATGTATTTATACATGTTGATCATATCCCCCCTTAATTTCCTCTTCTCAAGAGAATAACTTCAGTTCCTCTAATCTTTCCTCATAGCTGAGCTCCTCCATGCCTCGTATCAGTTTGGTTGCCCTTCTCTGTACTTTCTCCAGTTCCCCAATGTTCTTTTTGTGAATTGGTGCCCAAAACTGAACTGCATATTCCAGATGAGGTCTTACTAATGATTTGTAGCGGGGTAATATGATATCTCTCTCTCTGGAGTCTATACCTCTTTTAATACAAGAGAGGATTTTGCTCGCTTTAGAAACCGCAGCTTGGCATTGCATGCCATTATTAAGCTTGTGATCTACCAGAACTCCCAGATCCTTCTCCACCATTGATTCCCCCAGTTGTACTCCCCCCCCAGTATGTATGAAGCATGCATATTCTTAGCCCCCAAGTGCAGAACCTTACATTTATCAACATTAAACCTCATTTGACACATAGTTGCCCAATTAAACAGTGCATTGAGGTCGGCTTGTAAATTGAAGACATCCTGTAAGGACGTTATTCCACTGCACAGCTTGGTGTCATCTGCAAAGACTGAAATGGGATTTTTAATCCCAGACCCTACATGCAGCATGGAAGGGGAAATATGCGCATGT